TTCGTTGGTAAAATATGTGTAATATGATACAAAGTGTTCTCTTTCTTTATTCCCCTCTTCCTTTAATCACTAGACTGGTGTGCGTGGGAGCGCTTCTGCTGACTGAGCTCTTCAAGTTCTGTGCAGAGGTCATTTCAATAATGCATTGAGGGTAGGAATGTAAGTGACTAATCGACTAGTTGACTTTCTGATAAGCACTAGTCAACTAGTAGCTTCCCTCGCCCTGCCCTTGCTGCCTCTATCAGAAAGAGGCAGCAAGAGGAGAGGGGGAAACGGAGAGGGTGCTGGTGGGAGCTGCCTTAAAAGCCAGTTTCCCCCAGCTCCAGCTCTGTGGGAGGGGGCAGGGGCGCATCGGTGGCATTCCAACTTTGAAATGCACAAGAGTCCCTGTTGGCGCTCTTGTACATTTCAAAGGCGGAGCGCGGTGCAGCACTTCTGCCTTTGAAATGTAGCAACAGCTGGGTGGCTCTCGCTACATTTCAAAGCGGAAGCGCCCTTATTGACTAATTGAATAGTCAATGGAAATTCCATCAACTATTCGATTAATTAATTAACCTAATTTTAACATCCCTACTTGAGGGGAAATTTAATATTTTATAAAAAACAGAGAGTGGAGTAAAAAAACTGGACTTTTCAGAAGTGCTTCAGAAAGTGAGAAGCACAAGTCCTGTTGAAAATCAATGAGACTTGTACTTTTTGCTTACTGAGGCTCGTTTGAAAATTCTTCTCTGGATCATAATCTTGCTTTCATACCTTGCATTGACTGATCAGCTATTCACCCTTTTGCTCCTTCCACTTTACAATGTCCGAGATACATTTTATGGAGGTAGCCTTTCTTGTCTGGGCTACATTCACATCCAAACTACAACAGTGTAAAGCTGGTGTGATGGAATAGACCTTTTGTTTCCTGATGAATAAATCTAGTCTTAAATCTGTTTTCTGTCTTTTTTTTTTTCTACTTCTCTTTTCCTTTCCATTAGGCCACATTTTCCACTGTCTGGGTCCGTTTTGTAACCATTTATACCAAATCAGAATTCTCATCTGTAGGATGGCAAGGTGGCCCAGTGATACCATGGCCTTGAGCGCAGGCTCTTTCAAAACATGCATAATGTCTGTGTAAATAACGAAATAGGAAGGGAGGGTCACAACAAACATGTTATTCCAGGGCCCTAAATTTCACTTTATGGGCCTGATTCACTCACACTTCTGCTAGTGGTTTACACCACTTTATTCAGATATAAATGGCTACACAAGATGCAAGCTAGACAAGAATCAGAGTAAGATCATCAGGACCTGCTGTTACATGCATAGCTTGGTAAGAAGTTTGATGGATATCAGCAGCACAGGCAGCTATGTATATTATCAGCTGCACTTATCCACTTACATACCAACTTCATACACACACCAAACAAGAATACTCAGACTTTGCACAAGAGTTGAGATTTGAGCTTTCTCACAGCAAGTAAAGAATCTGAAAAAACTGAAGGCCATGATCCTCCTCCCATCTGGTAACTCAAAACTGGTCACCTAGGCCTAATCTAAAGCTCACTGAGGTCAGCAGAAGCCTTTCTGTTGTCTGCAGTTAGATGCTCGATCAGCATCATAGAATTTTATAAATTTGAGAGGAAAAAATCCTGTTGTGCACAAATACAAATATATAAAGCACATGAATAAAATGGCGTGAAATTATGTGTCCTGTTGTCTCAACCACAAAATACGTAAGCAAGCTCCTAAAACATCTCTGTTCCTTTAAAAAAAGATAACTCCCCCGGAGAAGGACTGTATGAAAGGTCTTGTTATTGTTATATAGTAATAAAATATGCTCTGTCATCCTGAAGAAACTGAAGGTCTTGCAAGAATGCTTTTAACCATGACAATCTAAACAGTCAAGCGCTGTGAACTGTGGGGGGGGGGGGGGGGGGCTTGTAGGAACTACAACACTAAACGTCAAGCGCTGGTAACGTGGGGGGGGGGGGGTTATTATAAGGATACTGAGCATGTCCTAGCTGGTGAAGATACTGATAAAATCATCAAAACTTGGAAGATTTAATAAGCCCTACAGCAGTTTGCTTTTACCTTGTATTACCTGATGAAAAAATAGTGAATTTTACTTCTCTTGAACACTTAATATGCTATTGAAAACTATGTCCTTTAAAATATGTTATGGAATGAAACCTCCTGTGGAAAAGCCTGTGGGAGAAGGGAGAGGGTTTGTGGGAATAGGGCAGACGAGTCCACTAGTAATTCTATCCATTTCATGGTGGTTTCTGGTAGTTGGGCTAGGGTTTTATGGCAGGCACATAGTGGAAAGGGTAAGGTGTGCCTCTACCCTTTTATGTCCTGGTGACCCCTAGAAAAGAGAAATTGTTGGAAAAGATACCACTGCTTTAGCAGGCGTCTTCATTCTGCTTCCGCTATGCCCACCATTGTCCTGGTACTATGGCTCTAGTAGGAGCAGGAGCTGCCATTGCCTCAGTTCTTTGAAGAGTAGGGGCTTTACTGTGGCAGATTTAAATTGTAATGCGGTGTCCATGATGATGTGGTCACACAAGAATAGTGACACAACCAGCAGCTGGATCCCAGTTCCTACCCTATAAAACTTTTGAGACCAGTCTCTGCCAAAAAGGTTGAAGGGTCTATGTGGGGGGAACACATCCTTCTGCATCTCTCCTATCAGGTTTTCCTGGGGAGACTCAAGGAGCTCTTCCAGTTTGGTGGGTCACAAGAGGAGTAATGTAATTGATTTAGCTGTTACTTTTACAAAGGTCATGAGTTTTAAAGTTAGGTGCTGTTCTCCTGTGGGCTTGCTAACAGAATAGAGAGCATTTCATCCTAGGTCACTCACTCAAAGCCAGATCAAGTTGGCACAGAGCATTACTCAGTACTGTCTGATAGGTATTTGATGGTCCCTGAAGAGAGTTTCTGCTATCACATGGGTACTAAATGGTATTGGAAGTCTCAGCAGAGAAACCAAAGTTTGAGTGGGCATATCTAAAAATAACATGGTACACATTAAATGGATTAGAAATGTAAATAGGGAATCATTATTGATGAATGTGTTTTGAATGGAGTCTCTGCATGCTATTTAGCATTTTACCAATGTCCTTAAAAATATAAGATCATCACTGATAAAGTTTGTAGATGACACAAAATTGGGGAAGTGTAAATAATGAAGAGAATAGGTGACTGATCCTGAGAGATCTGGATCACTTGGTAAAATGGATACAATAAACAATATGTGTTTTAATATGGTTAAATGCAAATCTGTATACCTAGGGGGAAAAAAAGAAGGTAGCAGTGTTGCACTGTTGACTCATAGTGAGCTTGAATGTGACACCCAGATTCCTTTCTGCAGTCCTTTTGCCTAGGTAGCCATTTCCCATTTTGTATTTGTGCAACTGATTGCTCCTTCCTCAGTAGAGTACTTTGCATTTGTCTTAGTTGAATTTCATTCTGTTTACCTCAGACCATTTTTCCAGTGTGTCCAGATCATTATGAATTATAATCCTGTTCTCCAAAGCACTTGCAACCCCACCCAGCTTGGTATCCTCTGCAAACTTTATAAGTGTACTCTCTATGCCAGTGGTTCCCAACCCTTTTTGTGCTGCAGACTGGCAAACCCATTCACAAACTTTTGGTGGACTGGTAACATTGCATTAGCATATTTGCATATTGATCATAAATATATGAAAATAACGAATATGCAAATTAATTGTTACTAGTCTGTAACAGACCAGAGTTTGCAGATATCTACAACAGTAAAAAAAATTCACAGAAAGAATTCCCTTCTGACTGCTGAGTGGGGCAGCCCTCCCCTGCCCCCAGGGCAACTGGTGCTTACAGAGGGAGGAGCACCCACAGAGGCAGGGAGCATGTGGGGTACCCTATTTAGCAACTTTAGACATTTTTTCAGGGGCATAGGAGCTAGTGCCCCCAAGTGTGCTACCACCAGTCACCTCTGCCTTCCCCACTTCCTGCCCTATGGGGTAGGTGAGCTGCCATTGTAACTCCCCCTCCCATTCTGTATAATCCCTGCCCTGTATCTCTCCCTTCCCCAGTCAAGCTGCTCTTGCTCCCATAGTGCTCCCCAACCTCTGGACACGGGAGCAGCTCCTGTTCTCTTAGCAGCTCTTGTTCCTCTTAACAATTGGCCTTGTTAAGCACCTCTCCCATTTCTACATTTTTCAGTTATTTTTCCCCCTCTTCATTTAGCAATGAGCCTACCTTGTCCTTACTCTTCTAATGTATTTGTAGACTGTTTTCTTTTTGCCATTTATGTCTCTAGCTAGTTTAAGCTTGTTTTATGCGTTGACCTTTCTCATTTTGTTCCTATATATTTGTGTTATTTGTTTATGTTCATCCTTTGTAATCTGACCTAGTTTTCACTTTTGGGGATACAAATATTTAATAATGGGCTATTTTATTCTAGAAGAGAAAGATATAACACAATGTAGAAACTAGACAAATTTAGATTGGAAGTAAGGCATACATTTTAAGTGGTTTTGAGGAATTAATCATTGGGAGAATTTACTGAGGGTCATGGTGGACTTTTCCATCGCTAATAATTTTTAAAATTATATTAGGTGTTTCCTGCAAGCTGTGCTCTATGAATTATTTTGGGAGAGCTCCATTGTCTGTGTTATGCAGGAGGCCAGATTAAATTATCACAATAATCCCTTTCTGGCATTGGGGTTAGGAATAAAAATGTAGATTTCAGATTGGAACTTTTCTAAAGATTTCAAAGGAAGCTGTTGAAGTTTATTCATAACAGGTGTTCTGTTTAAGATGGTCTCAATTAAAAATAGAGACATGCTGTATTATATAGATATTATGGTATGCATTTTAAAATTACTAAGACTGTTATAGTCTTAGAAATCTATTACTGAGCACTGTGTTGTTCTAGAGAGCCTAAAATTCTAGGATCTCATTGTGTAGCCCTCATTCAAAACAGTGAACGCTTATTCATTTCATTAATAAAAAAATGGTTCCTCTCTGCTCAGTTCTAGAAAATGAATCAAAAGGCAACGATGAAGAGGAGGAAGAAGGAGAACTATTTGATTTTGATAGCGGTGATGAAATACCAGAAGCAGACAGACAAGCACTTGCGCTACCTGCTTCGGACTCTGGGATTCATGTAGAACATGAAGACACTAACTGCACAGGTAAGCCTTTCTGTGGCCAATAGGCTATGGCACTATTTCTCAAGTAAAGATCAAGCTCCATATTCATCAGACATTTTTCATGCTGTAAGTCAAAAAATATTTCCATAGATGCACTGTGAAAATGATTTAATTTACCCCAAATTCCTTACTTACCTGTGGACTTAACAATGAGAATGGGTAGTTATTATCCCTAACTGAATTCTTATTCCCTGCTGCACCTAAACCAGACATTGGTCTTCTCATCCCTATGTTGTGCAGGCATCTACTGTGCTGATAGGGCCTTTATGTTCTCTTAGTGATAATGATTATCTCTGGATGTCCCTCGGGAAGCCTCGTGGGTGCATCCATGGAAGTGAGTCTCCCAGTGGGGCTTATATTTGCACTTTAACAATGGCTGTGCAGACAGTGTGTTGCAGTTCTCTGAAGGCTGGAGAGTGGGGTATCTTCAGAGCCAGAGTTCCAGTGAAAACCACAACTTCAAAATGCTGTTTACATGGCTATTTTTTGAGAAGTAGCATGAACCCCACGGGCCCAGATCTGATGACCTGGGCTGTGAAGATGAAACTGTAGTAGAAGGGGGGTTTCACTTAGCTTGGGTAACGTGTTTGGTGGCACTGAGTGGATGTGTCCTTAAAAATAACTAGAGCGTGCTTTTGTCCCATATGTGAAAACAAGCCTTCTTTCATTGACTGTTAGGACCTGTGGACCTCTGTTAAGTGCATTTCCCCATGACCATCCATATATAGGTATGATCTAACCCCCCAGGCTATAAAGCAGGGGTGGGCAATAATATTTTGCCTGGAGCCACTTCAGAAATTTTTTAAATGGCTTGGGGCTGCACAGGAAGGGGCGGGACCAATATACTTTCCTGCTTCCCCACCCACAGACCACGATTGGTTTGGGGTGGAAGAGCATGCGAAGTCTTTGCCCCCCCTCACTCCAGTTCCCCCTAGGCACCCATGCCTCTAGCAGTGGGAGGAAACTTCACATGCTCCCTCCACTGCAGGCCAGTCACGGCTTGCGGGTGGAGAAGTGCATGAAGTCTCCTTCCACCCTGCCAGGAGTGTGCAGTGCTTCTAAGTGCTGCGCGCTCCTGGCAGGGCGGAGGAGACTTTGTGCCCTTTCCCCCAGTCTCCAGGCCCTAATTGGCCTGGGGACAGGGGAGCGGCAGGGCCTCCATGTGCGGGATCTGGCCTGTGGAGGCCCTTTTGCTCACCCCACCCACCCCTTAGAATCATTCACCTAAGAGGTGGACGAATCAGGATCCCATTCTCCCTGCTCCAGTCACTCTTTCATTATTTATGAAGAGTGGAACAACTTCAAGAGAAGAAGCTGAGGGAGCTCTGCATCAAACTATCCCATGGCTAGGGCACTCATATGAGAGGTGACAGAAATCTATTCAGATCTATTTTCCTCATATGGTGGAGGGAGAATTTGAACCAGGAGTCTCTTACATCCCAGGTGAGTACCTTAACCAGTGAGCTAAAAGTCACAAGGGACATCCTCCCCCATCCCCAATGTGTCAGTTCATATCTATAAATTGGGGATAATAGCCTGGTCACAACTCACCAGGGTGTTGTGAGGATAAATACTTAAAATATTTTAAAATTTCGGAGTCACTTATATGGCTTCTACCACTTCAATATAGAAGTACTAGAGTGACTATTTAATGCAGTATAATTTTGCACACAAACAGTTGTGATAAATGAAAATGTCTGTGTCTTTTATTTGTCAAGCAGATGACAACATATGCAGAACTGAGACAATACAAACAGAATCTAGTGCAGAGGGTGCTCCAACAAAAGTAAATCCATATTCAGTCATAAATATTTCACCAATCCAAGAAAAAGATCCTTCCTCATCACCAGAACCCAATCTTCAAGATGAAAGTGAAAGCCCTGACTTGTCTGGTGGATATTCTGTTCCCGTGCCTTGTGGCTATGCAGTACCATCCAATTTACCTCTGATGCTGCCGGCATACTCTAGTCCTGTCATAATACGCAGCGTATCTGTGGACGAAGAAGGTACAATATCTCTTGAATTTACTTTAGTGATGCAGTCTAATTTCAGCAAACCATATAGTCCTCTCAATTTTTATATTGTACTCTTCATTGAAATCTGTGGGAAACTCTTAACAATTGAAAAGAGACTCCCATCGCTGACAACAAAGCAGAATTTTCCTCTAAATCATCTGGGAAGGATTTTTGTTTATTAAAGAGAAAGAAATCCATAAAGAACTCTGTATCATTGGGAACAGGCCATCTAAAAGGAAACACTGTTCAGGGGTGATCAGTCCACTTCAAAGCCAGTGAGCAAACACGTTTAAAAAAAAAAACCCCAAACCTTTCTATAGAGTCAGTTTCTTTTGTCATTTAGTTTAACCCAGTGGTAGTCAACCTTTAGTCAGTGGAGACATGAAATTGCGACTCCCAGGTAAGTGCCCTGACCACCACAATCATTCTTACTTTCTCTCTGTCAGATATTTGGTACAAAGTGGAATAGCTTCACCAGAAGAGATTGAGAAAGACAAACCCATAACAGATTATTTTATAGGTTAAGGCACTTACCTGCAAAGTGGGAGACCAAAGTTCACATCTCTTCTCCACCTCAGGTGGGAGAGGTGGGGAGGACTGAACCTGATCAACTTCATCCCAGGAAACTGAACTAAAAGTTATAAGTGGGCATCACCTCCACCTCTTCCATGCGTTTATGAAAAAATGTCCTAAATCAAAACAAAGTCGTTCATTTTGGGTTGAATGAAACATTTTTTTGACTCAAAGCAAACTTGTTAATTATTTTCAAGTTCACTGACATTTTTCTGAATGTTCAATCTTGGTTTGCTGAGAACTAATTTTTAAGGTTACTTTAACTGCTAACAAACTGAAAAAACAGTTATTCATCCCTGGTCATGAGTTCTGAGTTCATTTAACAACTTTGCCACTGACTTGCTGAGCCCCTGTGCTTTAGTATCCCCATTGGCAAAATGAATATAATAAACTCAATAATCTTAATTATTGTTAAAATGTGTTCATAAACCACATTGAGATCTGTAGCTAAAGGACATTTGATAAGAACAGATAATAAATAACTAATAGTATTGCTACTATTAATCAAGTTAAAAGCTAATATTTGAATTCAAATAATTTTTTTGCTCCTAGCGTTCTGGTAAATCTGTTTTCTTCTACTCTTTTTAGTGGGCATACTGTCAGTAACTGAAGATGGCAATTGCAATTCTTTGAGCTCTGAGGATCCCCCAAATAGGTAATAGGCAGTTGCACAGCATTTATTTATCTGCAAATTCTTAATTCATGAGATAGTTTGTGTTGGTTACTTTTATATTCTTAGTTCTATTTTTTCTTGCCTAATGTTAGCATTGCTTGTTTTTTTTTTAACAACTTCAGCTTTCATTTGCTTTGTGGTGCCAAATATGTGTACCAGCATCAGCGCTGATTGCAATTTTACATACAAACCCATTACAAGTGGCTCTTTGACATCTGTGAAAGAGAGAGGTTTCATTTTCTGCCTTACAGGGAAAGTGCACAAAACACAAGGAATTTGTTTAGAAAATGAAGAATAAATGATTTATTTATTTATTTAAAATTAACAGTGCACTAAAGTTAATATCTTAATTCCATATTAAGTCACTTGGAACTTAAAAACAAAAACATAAAACTTACATATTAAGTCTGAACTACCAACAGTTTTCTAGTGCCTTTTAATTTCAGAATGAGAGAAAAAAGATGAGTAGAACTTAGCTACTTATTCACATGGTTTAAAACTAACATCACATTATTTTTAATGCATTTATTTTGTGGGATTTTTTTCAAGTGAAGATAACCAGGTCAGTAAAGAAGAAGATGCTTTAGCCAAATGGGTTGCTGATCCTGCAAATACCTCATGGATGGAAAGTAAGTGTCAATCAGCCACAGCAGTGTCACTGTGTCAGTGTCATCATCAGTCACAGCTTTTTGCCTGGGAACATCTGCATTATCTTTTCCTGCATTTTCAAACATGTTCCAGAGCTAAATAATAACAATTAAAACATGCTTCTCTGTTTTTAGTATAAAGACCAAATTCTGCTCACATGAAGTGCTTATTGAAGTAAGTGGAGTCATGTGCCATGGAGGAATATTTTGGCCCCAGGTGATGGATTTATAGTGGGGAAATTTGCTTTTGACCTCTGATGATTCCATTAAGTCTCCAGTCACTTCTTTGGCTGCAGGCCTGTTATGTTTCAACAGTGGCAGTCATGGAACCCATAGCCTGCCTTAAAGGAGAGTATTCGTACCTTGATTGAGTTGCTTGAGACTGAAACTGGCATTACACAACTGCCCAGGTCTGTTTGCCACATATGGCGATTGGCTTCATTGTGGGATGGATGGGAATGAAGAACTCTGGACAGGCTATATGAATCCCAAATGTGGGAAACAGGCTTTAGCTTCCTGAGTGAATCTATGTCTCTTAGGCTGGGTAGCTTAAAGAAGAATTCTTCCTGCCAGAGCTGTACTACATAGTTCAGATAGGACAGAGAGATGGTTCCCAGTGGTTTGGAAATGTCCCTCATGGAGAAATTGAGGGGTGCAGGGAATTTACTTCATCATCTCAACCTATTTTTTAGTTTACCAGCATGATCACTAAATTACTTGCAGACAGGGTCTGGGTCCTAAGTAGTTATATCAGGGGATTCTTGACAGTGAGGCCCAGCAGGTTAGACTTCATGATAGCCGTGTAGTAACAATCCAATTGGCTTGCACAAAGGAGGAGAAAACATTTGACCAAGGAAACCAATTTCAGTTTCAAACTCCCGAAAGGTTAAAAATGATGAAAAATTGTGAAAATAAGTCTTGATAAATAGTGTGTGTGCTAGATGGAGTTAGTGTCCATATTTGGGGGCAGAATGACTCTGTCCCAGGAAACCAAGAATTTCTTGATTTTTTTTCAGGGCCTGTAATCCTGCCTAGACTGCTTAACGAAAGACTTTATTTTGCCCTGTTTTTTTTTTTTATGTGAGTCAGAGAAATTCATGGCAGACTAGGGGAGCACATACATGCCAGGTCTGTCACTTTTGCTACCTTGCTGTTGATGAAGATTCTCAGGGAGCATCCATCCTGCCAACCCTCCCCTCAGATGGAGTCAGATTCCAGGCAGTACTGTGAGTTCCTGTGGGTGGCCAAGCTGTACACAGTTATGTCTGGCAGCTTCAGAACTAGCTGCAGTGTGTTAGGGTGGGGTTGGAACAAAAGAAAGTAAGAAGGAAGATGTAGCACTGAATGAGACAAAGAATTGAATACATCTGGCATGGAGGGTAGGGGGTACACTTTAGCATGGTGATGTCAAGAGGAAGTGAAGAAAGGAAAGAAATACACAAAAGCTTAGAAAATATAGAGGGATGAGTGTGGGCTGCCTTGTCCTTCCTGCCCTCTCCCTTTGTCATTCCCTAGATGACAGGATAATTGACTGTTTTTTTCATCTTGTAAAATCTGATGACTTTATTATCCTAGCTGCAGGGTTGGGGCTGGTGCAGGGATGTGGAATGAGAGAGTTCTTGGAGAGAACAAGAAAGGATTCATAGGATACACAGGAGAGCCCACTGGGGGCACGTCTAGACTACATGGCTCCATCGACAGAGCCATGTAGATTTGTTTACTTGGCAAAGGGAAATGAAGCGGCCATTTAAATAATTGCCACTTCATTTAAATTAAAATGGCTGCCGCACTGTGCCGATCAGCTGTTTGGCGGCACAGCGCTGTAGTCTGGACGCTCCGTGGTTGACATCAAACCTCCCAGGTAAACCTCATCCCACAAGGCATAATGGGGCGGTTGACAAATGCCTTTGATGTTGACTGTGAAGCATTTAAATGAAGCGGCGATTATTTAAATCGCCGCTTCATTTCCCTTTGCCAAGTAAACAAATCTACATGGCTCCGTCGACGGAGCCATGTAGTCTAGTCGTGCCCTGAGTGTACTTTGTAGCTTAACTGAAATTCCTGCCAGACATGCTGATGGCCACACAAGCAATTACTATTGTGGTTAATAATATCAATAATAAACATTATTATACCTTATGATATATGATTGAATATGCGTACCTGCAAAATACTGATATAGAATCATAGGACTGGAAGGGACCTCGAGAGGTCATCAAGTCCAGCCCTCTGCCCTCAAGGCAGGACCAAGCTCCGTCTACACCATCCCTGACAGATGTCTATCTAACCTGTTCTTAAATATCTCCAGAGAGGGAGATTCCACCACCTCCCTTGGCAATTTATTCCAATATTTGACCACCCTGACAGTTAGGAATTTTTTCCTAATGTCCAATCTAAACCTCCCTTGCTGCACTTTAAGCCCATTACTCCTTGTCCTGTCCTCAGAAACCAAGAGGAACAAATTTTCTCCTTCCTCCTTGTGACACCCTTTTAGATATTTGAAAACCGCTATCATGTCCCCCCTTAATCTTCTTTTTTCCAAACTAAACAAGCCCAGTTCATGAAGCCTGGCTTTATAGGTCATGTTCTCTAGACCTTTAATCATTCTTGTCGCTCTTCTCTGTACCCTTTCCAATTTCTCCACATCTTTCTTGAAATGTGGTGCCCAGAACTGGACACAGTACTCCAGCTGAGGCCTAACTAGTGCAGAGTAGAGCGGCAGAATGACTTCACGAGTTTTGCTTACAACACACCTGTTGATACAACCTAGAATCATATTTGCTTTTTTTGCAACAGCGTCACACTGTTGACTCATATTCAACTTGTGGTCCACTATGATCCCTAGATCCCTTTCCGCCATGCTCCTTCCTAGACAGTTGCTATTTCTATGTTATGAGAAAATAGGGTGTATCGCTATTATATAGACACTTGCTAATAAGACCCCCAAATCTTTGTTGTCATGAGTAAAATCTAAAAAGTTTTTTCAACTGTTTCTGTTTTGTTATTAGACCCAGAGGAAGTGATTTATGATGATGTGCCAAAGGAAGATTCAGATACTGAACCAGGTTTGAGTTTATGTAGAAAGTTAGATGATGATTTAATACAATCACAGGTTTTATTTTAACATACACTTGTGACTACAATGTGATCTATGATTATTTAGGTCTTTAAGTTAAATAGAGTACACCCAAAACTGCATGTGAATGCCGTTAACACTGTCACAAATCAAGTTCTAGGAATTCATAATTAGAGACTACTCTGGTCAAAATTTGTCTCCCAAGGCCTCTTCTGTCATCTTGTTCAATGGCTTCATTCATGGATTCTAATGCCAGAAGAGACCATTGTGAACACTGAGCTCTCTGCCTCAGCCAGTCTTTCCCTTGGGCATTGTTATTAAAAAATTAGAACTGTCATAAAAGAGTGTCTTCAAAACAACAAGGCTTGTGGGGATCTTCTTGGGTGAACTTTACTGAACATGCTGAGGTAGAACAGCACGTGCTGAGGTAAAACAGTTCCTGATGTTTAAATGTGGTGGAGCCTTCTGATATCTTAAGCTCTAGTAACCCTTATGTGGATTGACTGGCTATGAAATCAGTAAAGTTAGCCAGCAGCCATATCTCAAACTAAATCTGCTCTGTGACCAACCGTAACATAATAAATCAGGAGAAGAACTCCTGTAATAAGCTCTTTGTAGCCAGCATTCTACTACCCTGCTGCTATGCAGCAACCAGTCACGGAAAGCCACCTAAGAAATGTGCTGTAGGAAAGTTTTTCTCTTAACTCCAGGCTCATTTAACTCCTTTACTGTATGGCTATGATTGGAAGGACAAGAGTAGACTTCGATGAAATCTTGGCACCATTGGTTTTCACCTTGAAAACTGTGAGCAGTGGAATGCTGGGTTCAGTTCTTTTAGAAGATAATAAACAATGTGATCTGCAAAATCACACCTTTCTCAGGTGCCCTCTTTCCTGGGAAGTCTCCATCTCGTCTACATCTCCTACTGTGCATCAGAATCAAGGACTCTCATGGTGGTTTCATAAGAGAGGAAACCAACAGGTAGTTCAGTCTCTGAGTCCCACCATATAAGAGAATGAGGCACTAGGGACCTGAACTACAACTCCCATGAGTTTCTGAATCTAAATCTTTTCTTTTAAATGAAAAATTTTCAGCAGAAAATTTTCTGTTTTCTATTTTTAGCTGAAAAGTCTAAACTTTCCATAGGGGAGAGTTATTTTATTGACAATGTTGGTATATACACAATGGGATTTGCAATTAACATTTGAGAATTTGTTTCTTTTTAAATTGAGAACAGGCTAGGAATGCCTGTTTATCCAATTGGATGGATTAATTTCTTGAATTTACAAGGAAATTTTAAAATAATCACACCACATTTAAAGATCTAAATATTAGGCATATAGACTGTGGGCTGTTTGTAGTAATATTTGCACCTTTATAATCCTCAGCCTATGAGAGTTTTAACAGGTGGACATGGTCTCTGTCTCATTATCACCCCATTGTGGTTCCCATTAGACTAGTAAGACAGATCTACTGAATTCAGTCTAGTTTATCTTGTGTGGGGGGAAAGAGGGGAAGGGTCCGCCCGCACTGCTGCCATAGTAGAACTGGGGCCTTTTGCCCCCTCTCATAAGTGTTTTATTGTGCAAATCTCTAATTGGAGTCAGTGGGAGCTCCACATACAGATCGTTTACAGGACTGGGCCCTAAATCAGACAAAGACCTATTTAACTCTGTATGACCGAGAATTTTAGAGTCTGCTACTATTATAATGATTTTTTGTTAAATTCTCTGTTTTGCTGGAATGCCATTGAAAGGTATCAGGCAAAGAGCTTTGTATTTATGGGGGGGGAACAACTAGATTCAAAAGTAGAGTTTCAGCATATTAAGGAGTTCACTTTTTGTTAATGCTGACTGCATTAAGTAATATTAATTAATATTGCAACATTGTCAAATTTTAATTTTTGAATTTAATAAATATCGGGCTATTGAAGTGTGCAAAATTAAGTCAATTTTCTTTGAAACAATTTGTAATTTACTTATAGCCTAAATCCTGTGTCTTCCTTTTGCATAAACCAAATTTTATCTCTAAAGTGCTGGTCAGGTGGGCTGAGAGTTACTGCAAAACAGCTACTAATAGTAATCTCCCTGAAAATAAGAATTTATAATGGATGTGCCTGCCTATGTCAATTGTTATGGTACAAATGATATAATATATAATTATGGAAGCAAATGATTGCTTTCTCATGGTTAATTGAGAGTTAAATTTTTTCATTGCATTTTAGGATCAATGTGTAATGGATCCCCTTAAAAAAAAAAAAAACTATTCTCAGTACCTACAGTTTTCAGACACACACAATTTTTTCTACTATTTCAACACATTTGTTTAAACAACTTAATCGTAGCTGGGCGGGCATTGAAATTTTTGGGTGTAAAATGTACAAAAATAATGAAGTTTTGAGCTTTTTATGTCATTTATACACAAGGTAATGCTCCAGTATTTGAGGTGACACATTCATGACTGCTGAGTATGCTTATGTTGGAAGGATGAAAATGCATCATAAAATACAACAGTTTTGGAGTGTAGTTCTTGCTATTCTTTGGTCTAATCCATTTTACTAGAAGTAGTAACTTTTTAATATGTCCTGCCAAACATATATCATACTTCAGCATCTGTTGTGTGTGTTAATCGTGAAAAGGTTCCTAAAGTGAGTTATGTGTGGTAGCAAGATGCATCAACGGTGAATTCCTTGCTCACCATGACAGTGATTATGTTGACATCCCACTGAACTTGAGCAGGATTTGCACCAAAATCTACTGTATATAAAATAGAACATATAAAGGCAAATCCTGTGCTAACACCAGCAAATCATTATAGTATAGATGAACAAATACATTGGAACACCTCTCTTTGAAGAGGCCACTCTACTTATGAGGGGATGGTGTGAGCATCACAACGTTATCCACACATGTTAATGTGGTGCTCCACATTAATGCTTCTATGTGGAAGCTTGAAAGCTGAGAAAAGGCTTCCTACCTCATCCCACCTATGTATTGTAGCAAAGGGCAGACTACATCCCATAGTGAACAAGCGCTTTGGAATTAAAATACATTGGAACTTCTTTGAAGCTTAAGTAAAATGTATTTTCTGTTGTGTGTTGGTATTAATGCATGCAGAGGAAATGATTTATGATGATGTTGAAAATGGAGATGAAGGTGGAAACAGCTCTCTAGAATATGGATGGAGCTCAAGTGAGTTTGAAAGCTATGAAGAACAAAGTGACTCAGAGTGCAAAAATGGAATTCCCAGCTCCTTTTTGAGAGGCAGCCACAAAAGACATGTATGTAACTTATAGCCGCCTTTTCCTTATTCAGATTTTCTAATTATCCTGATTGCTCAACATTTGCCTTGCCCACTTGTGCCCATACCTTTTCATGAACCTATCTTCCATGTATACAGAGCATCTTTGCAAATGAGCTAATAACTAGTGAGAGAATGACGACTGAAAGCAAAACATAAAAGGAAAAAGCTAGTGCACATGTAAAAGGGAGACAGATCTGTGCAATGAAAATAGGCTGGTTGTTTCCTGTGAGCTGTTCTTGACCTTTTCCGTTTCCACAGCTGTGAGTGACATAGTGTAAATGGCAAATGACTATGGGAAATATTGTGAAGAGTAGAACTGGGTGACCCATGGATTTTGAGGCTTTGGGATCCACAGGAGGGTTTTGCAGAATTCACAGACTGGTCAGTTTGTAAATATGTCCCCTTTGATTTGTATTCCTCAGTTATGATTTAGCTTTGAAAAAACAGTTGTTGTGGCTGAAAAGAAACCTGTGATATGTATGGGGGTTAGAGAGACTCACCCAAAGACTGATGGGTAAAGGTGGATGGTCTGTATACAAGCAGTATGGTGCCTGATTATCTGGCCTGGCACCTTTGTGCTCCACTGCTTCTGGAGGCAACCATGGATTGGTTCAGTACCTAGAGTATTTTAAACTTTTTTACTGCTTTAGGTTCTGTCAGCTGCTAGTGATCATATAGATGTCATTTAAGATCTGGAATTTGTTAGAATGGCTGATGCTCCAGCCACCTATGCCAAGATGGTTAGGACTGGGTGTTGTGGAGTCAGTTGGGGTATGTCTACACTACCACCCTAGTTCGAACTAGGGTGGTTAATGTAGTCATACGAACTTGCAAATGAAGCCCGGGAAATTCAAATCCCAGGCTTCATTTGCAAGTTCGTATGACTACATTAACCACCCTAGTTCGAACTAGGGTGGTTAATGTAGTCATACGAACTTGCAAATGAAGCCCGGGAAATTCAAATCCCAGGCTTCATTTGCAAGTTCGTATGACTACAATAACCACCCTAGTTTGAACTAGGGCGGTAGTGTAGACATACCCTTGTTTCTGCCGATTTGCAGAGGAACACAGAATCAGGGAAGGAATTAAGACCTAAAATGTAGCCTATAAAACAAATCTGTATTTGAATTACAGATTATATCTCTCCTTTCCTCTGTTTTGGGTGTTTTTTTGTTTTTTGTTTTGGTCTTTCGCCCTACCCTACTCAAGGTTTTTTACCTTATATTTAAATAATTATATTTCCCTCTGCCTTTACACTGCTTATTTTCTTACATTTCCTCTTCCTGGGATTGCAAAAGCAATAATATAGCATTTTCAAACATAAAAGTATTGAAGTGGCTATAAAGTTAAGAAAAGAAATTCACATTGGAGAGAACACTTAGAAGAGAAAATGTTATACAAGTTTTATAAAAGAACCTGTGTAAAATAGATTCCACAGAATCCACATTTTGCTTCCACAGATTTCTGAACTCACTGCTCCATCTGTTGCCCTATGTCCCATCCAATCAGGATCAGGAAGTGGGGTGGGACGGAGGAATGACTGAAACACTGTATCTGTTTAAAAGAGACTTTGTTAATTAAGTACTTTTTTTCCCCTGGCTCAAACAAGCTTATGCTTCTGTACCTGATGTTTGTGGGGGTAATTCTGGACCTGGCTGAAGAAAGCTGTATATTCTGATATATTCTGATTCTGAATATATTAGGATGCAGCTGAGAAATGGTCTGCACATAGTGTACCTAAAGTGGCAGCTTGTTTTGTTTCTTCCATTCCCACCTCATTTTGTTCCTTATGGTGACATCCTGGGACACAGTGAGACTCTTTACATGTGTACAAAGGGGCAAGGTTTACAATAATTTTTAAATGCTTGTAATTAACATGAACCTTCCATAGACTCCAGATAGGGATTGGAGTGAGTGGGGGGAAAAGACTGCCAGAAGCAAAGAAATGTTGCAGGAGCAGGAGTGTGAGAGAAAATGGCCATTGGTCTGGAAAGGTCATACTGTGGAGTGAGTGAAGGGAGCTGTGAGAGATTCCAGGAGAGGAGGAGTGACTGCTCAGAATATACGGATGGAAGGCAGAATGGGGAATGAAGGAGATGCAGGAGATTGGAAGCCATAGACAGGTTTCAGGAGTCAAAGTAGGGAATGGAGGGAACCAGAAAGAGGGCTTGGAGGAGAGCAGGGAAAGGCAAAGATTCTTTAAATGGTTAATACTTTGTAAATATAAATCCTTAAGTGCTTAGAGTTAGCATTGTGGTTAAAAGCTCCTCACCTCTCATTTCCTATTCACATTCCTCGCCAAATGTAATTGCTTTCCCCCTCCTCACAAACCTCATATGAAATAGTGCTAAAATCTGCAAGGGGAATCCTGCTTTGATAGGTCTCCTAATGCATCTGGTGACTCTTGTATCCCAACAGGGGAATAGGCTGGCTGTTCATTTAGGACTGAGCATATTAAAAGGTTTAAGATTTCTGAAGAGCAGTTTTGTTTGTACATGTTAGTGGGGCTCCAGCAAAATACATGTTGGCATGTTTGCAAAATGAAATTCCCTCTTGTCAGTAAATCAGATTCTGCTCTCATTTATACTGGTGTAAGGTAAGAGTGCCAGCAATGGTATTAATTACATCTTAACTGATAAGGGTGTACCTGAGGGCAGAATCTGGCCCTTTGTTTTCAGCTTGGTGGATGTTTTGTTTCCATTGCCTCGATTTGTTGGCGAACAATGCTATCGATGTCAAGATGGGAAGTTTTACATTGGATTTTTTTTATTTTCAAATATTTTTGTCTTTGTACTTTCACCTGAGGTTCTCAGAGTGCTTCACAAACATTAATTAATGAATAAGTCTCACAATAGTCCTTGACTGGTATTGCCCCTTTATTTCAATTCATGCACAGAGTGATTATCTGACTTCCCCAGGCCGGAGTGAATCTGGAATAAAGCTATGAGTAGGATACAGATTTCCTGATTCCTACTCCTGTGCTCTAACTAGTTAATTTGAAATTATAAATCTTCCCCTACTAGCCTACACTTACCTAACTCACCGGTGCAATGAACCTCCAGTTTCAAAGATGTTCAGAAGTTCTGCAGATACTTTGGCCTATTTTGACAGTTTTTCTTTCAGCTCCCCATTCTTGAGAATATTCAGAAATATAAATGCTAGAAGTCATACTTGGCACTATGGAGTGATGTTCTGGATTAATTCTAATAGCAAGAAATGCACAATATAACTTGAAATTTAAATGATCTTAGCACACCTCCTATTCTTTTTGGATTGAGGGAAGCTTCCTCTTCCTTCATAATGCATAGCACTTGTCAGTGGATCATGAAGGCCTCACTCTAAGCATGAGTGGGTACATCTACACCGCAGTAAAAGATTCATGGCAGGGCAGTGGCTGGCCCTGAGTCAGGATCCCAGAACTTGGGCTTCAGACTGAGCCCAAAGGCATACCTAGGAATTTTCCAAACTGAGCCCTGGAGCCTGTGCCATGCAGATCCAAGTAGTTGGCCCAGGCCAGCCATAAGTTTTCATCTCTGTATAGACATATTCAGTAAGTGCAGCAATGTATAGGACACCATAAACAAAGGTCGAGCTCCCCTAATTGTTTATATTCTGTCTATTGACTGGACACTTCTAGGCAGAGAATCGCATGCATGATACCTCTCAAGTACTTTAAAGTTAAGTTTGCACTACAGGCTTTTTGAAAAGATTGTATTTTTTTATACACTGTAGCTTTCTCATGACCTAACCCGTTTAAAGGAGCACTATGAGAAAAAGATGAAAGATTTGATGGCAAACACTGTGGGAGCAGTAGAGATTCAGCAACTAAAGCAAAAACATGAGCTGAAGGTAGTGTAGTTAATTTTTGTAACAAGCTACGTGTTAAAATTATTGTTCATCAAGTGCAGACAATGTTATCTTTCCTTTATTAAACAGCAAGTTGAATATCAAAAATGGAACAGTAACTTATTTAAAATTATTTCCAAATGTTCTGGATATTGTACAGTTTGTTGTACAAGAACATTGTCAAGGACTTTTACAGTAGTTACTCTCTATTTGTAATACTTTTACAAGATCAGCTAGAACTCTGACTTTCCTTAATCATTGAGGCCCTGATCTTGCAACCTGATCCACGTGTGCAGATCACCTGTGCCCTTGTAGAGTCTTGTTAAAGTCCATGAGCTCTATGCGGGCAGAGGAGTCATCCCACATGGCTCAGATTGCAGGATTGGGGACCTTCATCCTTTATACAGAATGGAGCTGAAATGAAGAAGTTTGTTTTTCGACTTTGGCTCATATATTGAAAGTGCCCTGTCACAGCAAGATACCTTTGTGTGTGTCCTGGTATAATTGAAAATGTCAGCACAGTTGTGGGAGTAGCGTTCATTTTTGCTGAGGCTGCATTCAGGAAAGGGAGAGCAGTTTTTTGAAAGGAGATTTATGTCTGGAGGAAAATTGCTTCTCTGGCTAGTAATCGTAACACTTTTTTCATATGTGCTTAAAATGAAATAATATAGACACTGATGTGTTGTGATTTTAAATGTCCGTGCAATACAATTCTTATTTAAAAATCTAATTGATCATAAATGGGACAAAGAACCAGTGTTCAGATTATTTTTAGTTTTGGATAGGGTTAGTAACTTGTATTAGAGGTTGAACTTGGGCCACATTTCAGCTTCATAGCAGTGTCATTTTGAGAACTATTTTTAGTACATATCTGCCTGGCTGAATGCTGGACATTTCTGGAGCTCAAATTGTGCAAATTCAGTGGTTCCTCTAAAATTCCTCTTGGATTGCAAAACAGGTTTCTTCCAGGTGTAGATTTTTTTTTTTAAAGCACAAAGGACAAGAGAGACCAGTATTCAGATTTGAAGTCCCACCTCAATTAATTAATATATTTTAAAATACACCTATATATCCATAACACCTGGAATCGTTTTTCTTCCATAAGATTATAGTCATTTGACTGTGCATTAGATTTTGGGCCTAAACTACTTGACAATGTTCTTTTTTTACATATGACATCATCTAAGAAATCTCAGAGGGGTAACCATGTTAGTCTGTAACTTAAAAAGAATGAATAATCCTGTAGCACCTTAGAGACTAACAAATATATGTATATGTATATGTATATGTATATGTATATGTATATGTATATGTATATGTATATGTGTGTGTGTATCTATATTGAGATATATATATATATATATATACACACACACACACACACACACACACAGTGCTTTTTTTTTGTGATGGCATGGTACAGTGTACCATCACCATTTTTTAGGAGCACTTGCCGCTTTTCTCCAGCACCACCCCCAGATAGCCCTGGGAGCACTCACCCCATGCCAGAAGGAAGCATTTCAGCCCCGACCTCCTACATGTTTTTTTTTTCCTCAACAAAATCGTCTGGCAAGCCTAGTACCAGAACCTTTTTTCTTTTTTAACAAAAAAAGCAGTGTGTGTGTGTGTGTGTGTGTGTGTATGTATGTATTATCATGAGCTTTCGTGGGCAAAATCAACTTCATTAGTTTTGAGGAAATGGGTTTTTCCCACAAAAGTTCATGATTCTCTCATTCTCTTTTTCTCTCTCTAAGGTACTACAGGACTACTCATTGTTATCGTTTAAGAAGATTGCTGCTACAATATGTTGAATTCTACTCTTATTATTCACTGAGTATGTAGACTATGTCTTTTGCTGTCTTGCAGATGCAAAAGCTTATGAGGGCTGCTAGGGAAGGTACCAAAGATGGCTATGAAAAGACTAAAGCAGCTGTGAAGAAAGGTCGTTCGTTCATCAGAACCAAATCCTTTATTACCCAAGGTAGGTGTGGAATTTTTGGTCCCCTATAAAGTTCACTTAGGTGATTGTCTTAGCATGTTACTTATGTTACTGGACACATGAGAGCAGAATTACATTGTCTCATAAACAGGGCTCTGATAGATCTGTGGTTATGGAACTGCCAAAAATGTCGGTAATCCTGAGGATCTTGAAAACCCCTAGAAACATGGAGATTTGGGAAGTTTTTTTATACAACTTCCCTGCTCATAATTTATTCTAATTCATTCATGTGACACAGATGGATTTGGAGTTTGACCTTCACCCTCAGGTTCATTGCTTAATCTGCCATGGAGCTAACATTTAACTATCTAGTGGCTATGTACCCCAGAAGACGACCATGTATGTTTCTGGATGGACTGACCTCTCAGCCAGTTTCCTTTCTGAGGGAAACTGGTTAGTTTCACAGACTCTATCAGATGATGCACATAGACTTTGCAAGCTAGGAGAAGTCCTTCCTTAGCTTGTTCAAAGTCATCTGCTCATGCTCTTTACACTATACTTCCTGAAGCACAACTTCTCTCATATTTATTTGTCTGTGTGCATTACACCACTGTAATATTTGAGTGTTTTCTACATAACATGGATAGCAATTGTAAAGTCTCTAGTGGACTACCTGGCATCATTTTTTTTGGTTAGTTGATTTTCTTGTTTGCTACAGGTTTGTTTATTTTGTTTTGGGGGTGGAGTTTAGTTGGGGGTGTGAATGTTGTGAGTGTCATTCTTTCTATGGTAGAAAATATTTTTGAAGAGAAAGAATTTGAAGCATTTCTTAAAGATGGACAAATTATAGATCACCGAATCTCCTGTGGAAGTACGTTTAACAGATACATCCCCTTGAGTAAGACTGCTTTGTCCCTTGCTGTCATGTACTTTGTTCTTGGCTAGGAAGGACAAATTGATATAAAGCAAAACACACAGAAATTTTGCTGAGGATATGGGCTGAGGTTACTTGGGAACTCTCCCACCCTTGCTATACCATTAATTCACCAGCACCAGCAGTTGGTGAATACACCAGCAGTTATTCTCTGCATAGCTCCTGCTGTTTCTGACACTGATGGAACTATGCTGGTGATAGACTAATAATGGCAGAAATCATTAATATGCTTTGGTACAGACAAAATTGTCGTTGTCCCAGTATGATGACAGTACATATGATTCTGGATTTTCTGTCTATAGGTATATAAAAATTGACTTTTTGCTATTTTTAATTATTTGTAGATCATAAAGCTTGCTCTCTGGAAGAAGAGGAGCTGAATTTATTTATTGATGTGGACTGTATGCATACAGAAGCAATTATGACTCCTATGCCTGAAGGATTATCACAACAACAGGTATTAATTTCTGTGGGTTTAAATATTATGGAAACATACAGTAAATGACCCATAGGGCATTTGCATGGACAAAACCTGATTGTGGTGGGATAATTGTGCATATACACTAGACAGACTTGTAGCTTGCAAGGGTCTTCACCTGATTTAGAAAACCAAGCCTAAATACCTCCCCCAAAGTCACACAGGAAATCTGTAGCAGAACTTGGACTAGAACCAAGGTTTACTGGATTCTATCCCTTAACCACAAGACCTTCCTTCTTCCTGACTTGGCTGTCACTGTCTGTCTGTTTCTCTGTACTTCAGTCTAGGTTTAGGTAGCTGAAGAACAGAAATCAAATTAACAAGAAAACTCTCCCTTTAGTCCAGAGGGAAAGTTGCTAATTTGTATTTCAGAGGAGTGGTTTAAATTTTAATAATTACTTAAATTTACTTGAAATTAAATCAGCTATTTGAGGTTTGCGAAATGAATCTGTTCAGAATTTTTAATGGTGTGAATTATCACCTTTTTATAAATACACTATGGCTCCATCTACACTGCCCCCTCTTGCGCAAAAAATATGCAAATGAGGTGAAGCGCGGAATATCGCTGTGCCTCATTTGCATAATTAATGAGGCTCAGTTTTTGTGCAAGAGGCTTTTGCACAAAAGGAGCTGTCTACACTGTTCCTTTTGGCGCAAAACCCCCCTCTTGTGCAAGAGCCAGTCTTCTGCTTTTTTCAATTTGTTTACATTAAGAGTGTGTCTAGACTAAACCTCTCTGTCAACAGAGAGATGTAGATTAGGCACATCAAAATTGCTAATGAAGCAGGGATTTAAATATTCTGTGCCTCATTAGCATAAACATGGCCTCCACTTTTTTTTAAACGGAGTTTTTTTAAAAAAACCCAGCAGTCTAGATGCAGATCTGTCAAAAATAAAGCCTTTTTTGACGGCTCCTGTATTCCTCAAAAATGAGGTTTACAGGATCTGTTGAAAGGCTTTATTTTCGACAGATCCGCATCTAGACTGCTGTTTTTTTGAAAAAAATCCGTTTGAAAAAAAGTGGCGGCCATGTTTATGCTAATGAGGCACAGGATATTTAAATTCCTGCTTCATTAGCAATTTCGATGTGCCTAATCTACATCTGTCTGTTAACAGAGAGGGTTAGTCTAGACACACCCTTTGTGTCCATAGGTACAACCTCCCACGGCTCCCAGTGGCCGTGGTTCATCGTCCCCAGCCAGTGGAAGCTGAGGAAGTGGCACGGCCACAGGAGCATGCTGGCTGCCATTTTCTGCAGCTCCCATTGGCTGGGAGCAATGAACCACATGTGCTGAAGGGCTGTGTGCTGCATACAGTTGTCCATCACCTTTTTAAAATGTAGAGGTAGAAAATAAACCTAATACAGTGAAACCTTTGTTATCCGGCACTCTGTTAACCAGAAAACTTCGTTAACCGGCATTGCCCCCAGCCACAATACTGTCATATCTTCAGGCACACAGTTTTGGCTTGGTTTACCATGATTGGCTTAACATTTTTTTATTTAAGAAGTACTAATCATCTTTAGCTCAAAATAGAAATGTGAGACCAATTGCCAAAACTACCAATATTAAAAACTTGAGTTTTACTATTATTGTCCATTGGTTTTTCCTAGGTTGATGGGATCCTCAGATAACCAGTATTTTTAGATAACCGGAACGCCCTATTCCCCAAGTGTGCCAGATAACACAGGTTTTACTGTATAACGTAAGAAAATTAATGGGCCAATAATACAAACATTCTTTAGGTGAATAGTGACGTACCAGATTGAAATGAAATTCAGTAATGCAAGGAAAAAGTCACTTCTCTCTTTATTCTTAGACCTTTGGAAACTGATCTGCCTGCCTGCTTTCTCCCCCTTTCAGATCTGTACAGTTCCATCTATGAGTCACATTTCTTTTGGATCCATATCCACATTTTAGAATAGATAGTCTGTGAGGTTAACCATAGAGATTAAGTAGCTTCACTGGTAGGCATGCACACCACCTCACTAGATATAAGCTTAGGCAGGGATGCAAAAATATGTCCATGCTTTTGCTTTTTGTAAATTAAACGTAAAGTGGAAAGTGATGTTACTTTTGGTGAAATACAGCAGATGTCCTTAAATAGGTCTAAAGGCTTGAGAGATGTTACCCATGCTCCTTTAAAGTGCAGAAAATATCTCTCAATGCCCCATAATATTAAAAAAGTCTTCTGATTATAATCATTGTTAATTGAGTAATGTTAAATATTTATACATCCATATGTAATAATAAGTATCATCTGATAAGTGTATTTGATGTGCAATGTAACATTTGTTCACCATTTTTACCTGTGGCAGGTAAAAGAAGGTTTTTGCTATGTAGTGGGAAGGTGTCAAAGGCAATCCCTATGTACTTGGGATCTGGCCTTAGTGCCAGGGACACCTCCCTAGTTTGTTCCCAGGTAGTGCACAAATGATTGTTGAGAAACAGCTTTTTGTTAGTTCAAGGTGCAGAGCTCAGATTAAATCTGGAAAAATAAGTTCATACTGGATGCAGACTCTGCTGACAGAGAAAGTTTGGTGAATGACTTGAGGAACATGGAAGCAGACAGAAACACACACATAATACCAGAAGTGATGAAAAACTGGTGAGCCTGCAATCCATTTATGCTGGGCTCCCTCTGTGAGGAGAGGAGAATTAAAATTCCCACTCTTCTGGGGACTGCGCACTGGAGAACAGTGTATAGAGAAGAAGTTTTGACATCCAATTTAAAGAAAACCATTCTCTTTCTGACATTCTCCCCTTTTTGATGGGTACATGAGAATAGTATGGGTGCCTGGAGGTTATGATTATTATGGGCATTGTAAGAAGTATGATTCAACAATAACATGCATGAATATATCCTATGAATAGTTATGTCCCAGCCTGTGCAGACCTCACATGACAAGAGTCTTCATGCAGGTGAATAGTCTCTTAATAAAAAAGATTATGGGAAAAACATTGGAAGAATGTTTTAGTGATGAGGAGCTAGGGCTGGTGTTTGTTTGTTCCTTTGCTTTTTAATGGCTACGGGATAAGAATATTAAATTATTTGTGTATTGAGCATAAAAATCCATATGCTTGCTTCACACATGCACATTGGTATGGTATTTCTTTTTTAATGAAAAATAAAATATTGCGTGTGTACTTGGCAATGCAACAAGTACATACAATTTGGTCTTTTAGGCTTTTTTTCCCCTGAATATGCTGCTGTCAACCACAAGGTGGCATAACAGTTTTTGTTTAAAAATCCAGGTCCTGTTTGAATTTTTATTTGTATATTGCGTCATACTGTGAGTCTGAAAGTACTGGATAATTGAAACAATCATTTTAGTTCTGCAATCATAATCTCTGTTATAAATGTTATATGTTTAGGAATAAAAATGCTGGAACATAACTATTATTTTTCCCATCTACCCATACCAACAAAAATCTGAGTGTAGCAGACTTGTAATATTTCACCAAGTATGTAACAGGGCCTTAGGCCATATCTTCACTCAGCACAAGATCAACACTCCCACAATTGAACTTCTGGAGTTCGATTTAGGGGTCTAGTTAAGACTCCCGAAATCGAATTCAGAGGACACCCCTGTCGGCAGCCGATACTCCTGCTCCTGTGAGAAGTAGAGGAAGCCAAGAGAATGGTGTGAAACTCTAATCAAGGTATGTTGACTCCAGCTATGTAATTAACGGAGCTGGAGTTGTGTATCTTTATTCCACCTTTCCCTTTAGTGTAGGCCTGGCCTTAGTGTCTCCTCCATATCTATCTGTGTTAGGCTATTACAATGGCATGTAATCACCAACTTTGTGTACTTTATTTTATGTATCGTTGGATCTGATACATGTCAGAAAATTATTATAGAATTAAAGTCACAAAACAACATGCTTTGGAGAAAAATTAAATGTAAATTAATATATCATGAACCTATTACAATCCTGTTATGCTGTATGTTTTTCTTTATGTAAAGTAAGACAGTCAAGGTAATGGGAACAAAACACTGACCCTATGCCAATACTTTCTCACTATTATTGTTTATAAATCCTTCAAGAGTTTATCACTGGATTATTTTCTCAAAATCTGTGTTAATATGTTATGAAGATGTAAAACAATGAAACATGACACGTGAAGCTTGGTTTTAAAAACTAACCCACTATATTGCATCTGTGTATCAAGTTGCTAATATTCTATCATAATCCGGGCCCACAGCTAATTGTATCCTAAAACTTGTTGGTGGGATATAAGAGTCCATATTTTAAAAGTGAACTTTTAAAACGAAATAGGCAAATAAGAAACTTCATATGACAACTACTATTTTATAGTATTTCATGAATCATTTAAAAAGATAGAGTAAAAGTAATTTTCATGAATTTCTGAAGAGATATAACATTTATTTTATTATAGTTCCAGTGTCAGGAATACTTTAGTTTGACATATAATACAAGGGTCAATTTATTAGTGTAAGAACTTTATGGTTAACATTTAATATGGATCTGTGATTTTTGCTTAATACTCTTAACTCTTTTTCCATTTTAGATATAGAGACAACTGGACAAACTCTTTTCCCCTCTTGTAGGTTAGTTTACTCAGACTAGTAAACAAACAAACAAACAAAGAATTTAATAAACAAATTACATAGTGCATGTACATTTCTATCAGTAGTAAAACATTATTTTCACCAAGTCACAGAAATGAGGAAAATATCAGCAACTTTACATTTGAAAGTTTAACTTTTATCACGTTGAACAGGTTGTGAGAAGATATATTCTGGGCTCCGTGGTTGACAGTGAGAAGAAATATGAGGATGCTCTCAAAAGAATTTTGGAGGTATCTAAATAATGTTTACTTTTTACAATTTAGAAAGGACCCAAATCCTGAAATAATTATTCATTGATTATACTGTGACTCACATGCGTGATATTAGAGGGCCATCAGACCGAATATGTTATCTTTTGACTATAAGGCGGGATTTGGATTAGGTTTTACTTTGTGATGTAAAACTCTAATTTCTTTTCAGGTTGTTTGAATGAATCTGTTTTCTTTATTCAGCAATATGAGAAGCCTCTCTCAGAAATGGAACCAAAGCTGCTGAGTGAAAGAAAACTCAAAATGGTCTTTTATCGTATTAAGGAGATTCTTCAGTGCCATTCAATGTTTCAGATAGCATTGGCCAGCCGTGTCTCTGAGTGGGATTCTGTTGAAATGATTGGTGATGTCTTTGTTGCTTCAGTAAGTAAATATTTATGAACAGAGGTCTGAAAAATATTCAACATTTTTTAAAAAAAAATCTATGTAATTCCCCGTCTAATATGGATGCCCTCTTAGTTTCCTATGTTCCCTATTGCTGGTGATTGCTGTAATAGCACATGTATCCGTTAGGACAACTACACTGACACCAATACTTCCATTTGGTTGGCTGCAAGTGAAACAGCTTTGGCCAACATTTTCAAATGTGTGTGTCTCTTGTTAGTCACCTAAATTTCCATTTAGGTATCTAATAAGGGGCTTTGTTTACAGAAATGTTGGTCATACACAAATCCACCTAAAGCAACCTGAGCTGCAGGTGCTTCACACCTCTGAAGAACGGGGAGCATCAAATAGCACTTTGAAGATTTGCCTATAGCTAAAAATACTGCAGACCGTGGCCTGGGGTGGGCACAATACAGCCCGTGGGCTGGATATGGCTCGCCAAGTCATTTTATTTAGCCCGTGACCTGTCCTGGCAGGGGAGGTGGGGACAAGGGAGTTCACGCACTCCCTGTGCCCCACTGTGATGCTTGGTCTGGGGGCAGGGAAGTGTGCAAAGTCTCCTCCCTCTTTCCTCTCACCCTGCCAGGAGCAGGTAGTGCGTAGAGGGAACTGTCAGCTGTTCAGAACAACTCGTGGTTCCCTCAAGGCAGGGTGTGACTTTGGTGGGGTCAAGAGACTTTGTGCACTCCTTCACCCCAGCTGCAAAGAATATACTGGGGGCAGAGGGATGCATGAAATCTCCTCGCCACCCCTCCCATTAGGGTTTTCTCTAAGTGCCGTGTGACCATGGTGGGGGGCAAGAAAGGTCACATGCTCCCTCACCCCCAGTCTCCGCTCCCTTCTGCAATGATTGGCCTGGGGATGGGGGAGCGCATGCGAAGTCTCTTGCCCCCTCCCAGGGACACGCAGCCTTGAGTGGCACACAGAGGGAACCCATGTGCTTGGGGCTGTTGCAGGAGGGAGCCTGCTTCAGAGACCCTGTCGAACGCTGGCTGGGAGCTGCCTAAGGTAAGTGACTCCCGGCTAGAGCCTGTCTCTGGCACCTCAGCCCCTGCCACTTCCTAACTCCCTGCCCCAGGTCACCATCCCCTCCTGCCCTAGGTCACCACCCAAATTCTCTGCACATGAGCCCAGGTCACAATTCCCTCCCAGACCCTGCACCCCCTGCTACAGCCTCTCCCAGGAAAAAAAAATTCACCCTTGCACCCCTACTCCCTCCCAGACTCAGCATCCGAAACCCCTACCCCAGGTCACAACTCTTTTCTTCACCTAAACTCCCTCTAAGACCTCACACGCTCTCCTGCACCCTTATCCCTAGCTCCCTTCTGCACCCAACCTCCGTTCTAGATTGTGCTCCCTCCACCTCCCATATAGAAGTGTGGCCCTTGACCACTTTCCAAAATCTTGGCGTGGCCTTCAATTAAAAATTATTGCCCACCCCGCCATGGCCTGTCTGTCAGTCAAGCTTGGAGCAGAAAAGGGGGTGTAGATAGGCAGGAAAGTAGTTCCTCTATCCTTAGCCCAACAAGGTGCTGAACCAACTTCTGGTGCAGCCTGTGGGACTGCCTAAGAGACCATTCCACCAGTTGGAGTTCAGTGCATGGTAGCTCCACTCCTCTTGCCTGCAGTCCAGTCTCCCTACATGTCCCCTCCTGTATATAGGAGAGGTGACTGCAGTAATACATAGTGCTCTAAGACACCCTGGTACAATAGAGGAATCTACCACTTGCCTTTTTGGCCAGCTGTGCTTCCCCTTTGTACTGGCAGGTGACCAGAATCTGGTCCCATATGTTTAAAGAGACTGAGCTGAAGTGACTACTAAACTTTACTTTTATAATTCACAAGTTTTGCAAATGTACAACCTTAACTCTGCATTCAGTGCATTTACAAGTTGTAGATTATCATGCGTTAACTGGTTGGTCCCACATATCGTCTCAATAGAAGTTGAAGGTATTTAGCAGCTCCTGAGCAGAACACTCAGGTCCTCACAGTACCAGGTATTTAGCTGTCAGAAATAAAAAGAGACCTGTCTTGAGCTGGATTTCCTGTTGATGACCGAGGTTTATCTTGTCTGTATTTCAGTTTTCTAAATCCATGGTACTAGATGCATACAGTGAGTATGTAAATAACTTCAGCACAGCAGTGGGGATTCTCAAGAAAACATGTGCCACGAAACCTGCCTTTTTAGATTTTTTGAAGGTGAGTGCACTTTGGCTTGAAAGAAAGCTGAAAAAACTGGGATAGCACAAGATACTTTAGGGAAAAATTTGGCCATATGATATGTACATTCTGATGAAATTTAAAGGGAACAAAATTCACCCACAGTTCTAGTAGAGAAGAAGGATAACATGATTTTAGCTCCAAGGGGTATTTTGTGCAGATTAGGGATGTTAAATATCGAGTGTTTGATTAGGGATTTAGCACACATCCCATTCTGCTTTTAAATGTTAAATCTGACCACCTGTACAGGGGATACACAAAGATAAACTTTGCACATCTTTAATGTATTTGTTTAAAAATAAAAAAACCCCAAGAGGCATATTGTGGACCACTTTACCAAATGCCACAGGGTCTATGCAGAGCTACCGTAGTCTTGTTTTTGTAACTGCGGCATCCATTAAAAATAATAGCAGAGGCTAACATGCCTGTATATGAGGACATCATTGTCTCAATACAAACTTGCTTTTGGAATCGTTCCATTTTTATTAGTGATTGTTATCGCCTCATAATCATCAGTGCATCAGAATTTACTCAATAATCTCAACAGCCCCTTATTTAAAAAGGCTACTTTTCCCTTCTCTTAGACATCAGT